AGTTTTACTGTACTTTTGCTAAACATCTGGACCCTTATTAACAAAACATCTTAAGGATAAAAGTATCTCATAACTCGCCGATTTAGGAAAAAATCTTAAAAATAATGGGCGTGTCAGTCCTAAATTTATAGGACTCCTACATTTTTGCTTTAAGAGTATTTCACAAAGTGTTTTAGCGCTAAAACTAGCTCCTAAATCTGTGAAACGTTAGGAGTAGTGAAGGGGACTCTTAAGTCACTAAGACCAAACCACAAACTGTTCTAAAATGGCAGTTGCGAGCAATCTGCCTCGGAACGTAAAGGTTTTAGAAACATTTAACGATAATGTGATTTTAAAAAAAGTTATCGCCTTTGGTTTTGGAGGTTATCCAAACTTCAAATTTTCCTTTGATTATATGCTTGTTTTCATTAACCAATTGGGCAAGAAGTAACAGCTGTTCTTGAGTCCAGTTTGGTGTTTTTTTTTGTTTGCATGTCTTACTATCAGCCATGATTATTCTACTCTGTTAATAAAAAGACTGTTTATATGTATATTCACACATTTTTTACAAGAAGCATACAGGCTGACAATTAGCTGAACATACACACAGGTACTATATATATATATGTATATATATATATACATATATATTATTATTATTATATTGTATAATTAGTGTCACTTAGCCTGCATTTTAAAATCTTTATTTGAATGTGGCAATTAACATCTTTATTTTTAAACCTTTATTTGAATATGGCAACATAATATCGTGCTCTACAATACTTCTATGAATGAATCTCTGACAGAGACTATCAGTCAATCACTGTGTGCATAGTTAGTAAGCATGCTGACATCATCCATAGTGTAACGGGACTGACGAGACGTGTGGATCCATCTGCAAGCTTTTTATTAAAGAGGCAAAAACACAAGAATAGTCCTAGGGCTAGCGTAGGTCACTGATCGGCAGACAGAATCACAGGGGCGAGATGAGAGGGAAAAATTCAGGAAAACAGGCAAAGATCAGAAACCGCAAAAACAGGCAAGGCAAGGCAAAACAAGGAAAACACAGAAACTCGGAAGGAAAACACGGAGACTCGGAAAGGGGTACAGGCTAAACAATACTCAGAGTGGGTGTTATATAGTGAGTGAGGTGATTAGAAACAGCTGTGTGCAATGAGTGCAAACCAGTGCAGTGTTCAAATCGTGCAAGGAATGATGGGATATGTAGTCCGGGGTGCTATGCAACAGTTTGAGTTGTGCAAGAGTCAATGTAAAGGAAAGGGTGACCTCTGGTGGTGAATAAACGGAAGTCCATGAACCGAATTCGTGACATTACGTTGGAAAATTAAAGAGATCTTTTCTCTTGTTTGTATTACCAGAGAGTTCATAGACGGCCTCCTTGGCCGGAACAGGACAGGCAGAGAATTCATAGACGACCTCCTTGGCCAGAACAGAACAGACAGAGAGTTCATAGGCGGCCTCCTTGGCCGGAACGGGACAGGCAGAGAGTTCATAAATACAAGGGTTAGAGTGAGTGAGTTTGGGGATACCAGCGGTGCGTGCAGACACCAGCGGTGCATCCCTCACACTGGATACCAGACTGGGATACCGAAGGGCTGACCTTGAGAATCTGGGTGTGACAGACAGGACGTGACATGACTCTGGATGATCAGCTGTGATGCAACATGATTCTGGATGAATAACTGAGGCGTGACGTGACTCTGAACGAACAGTTGAGACGTGACGAGACTCTGGACGAACAGCTGAGACATGGCGAGACTCTAGATGATCAGCTGTGATGTAACGAGGCTCTGGCAGCCCAGCTGAGACTTGACTGGACTCATAACGATCAACTGCGACTTGACTTGACTCGACTCATGAAGATCAGCTGTGACTTGACTCATGACGATCAAATTAACTGTGACTTGACTTGACTCATGACGATCAACTGTGACTAGACTTGACTCAAGACGATCAGTTGTGACTTGACTTGACTTGACTCATGAAGATCAGCTGTGACCTGACTTGACTCATGAAGATCAGCTGTGACCTGACTTGACTCATGAAGATCAGCTGTGACTTGACTTGACTCATGATGATCAACTGTGACCTGACTTGACTCATGATGATCAACTGTGACCTGACTTGACTCCTGAAGATCAACTGTGACTTGACTTGACTCCTGAAGATCAACTGTGACTTGACTTGACTCCTGAAGATCAACTGTGACTTGACTTTTCACAATTTTGCATGGTTGCAAAGCAGCTTTACATTCATACAGAAAGTAGTTACAAAAGTAAAGATGTAAACAACATATAGCTAGTTAGTTTGAAATGGTGAAAGACATTCACGTACTTGATCAGAGGGTTTATTTTAGTATATTCCTAATACACTCCAGTGCACCTGTAAAGCTTTTTAATGTCCCGTACAGACACCGGCAACATTGCACTTTAAAATGTGGACTGCAGCCCTTTGGCCTGTCAAAATATTATGAATTACTAAACAAATTATTAAAAAGTATCCTGACCCGTCCTTAAAATTACACACAAAAAAAGTCAAATAACTTCAGAGACGTTAACTGCATGAAAAGTAACATTGTAAAATGTATTGAAATAATTTCTATTCGTGCGTCACATTTAAATCCGCAGCATACTGCAAGGTATGTAAAAACCGCGTTTTTACATTAGAAACACTTGTGCAGTGCCTTGAGAGTTGAAGCGCGCAGAGAAATGCTACGGATGGTTTTACGTCTGTCTGCATTCACTGAAACATAATCCGTTCTGCACGTTCACATTCTTCCACTAACGAACGGAACTGTGCCGCTTACTGCGCCTGTATTAAGACTACTCAGCAATTCACAGTCTTTAAATCCATATAATTTGTGCTTTCATCGATGGAAAATGTCTGTTTACTTGTACGTAGTAGTACAGTATAAAATGAACACAAAGTAACCGATGTATAAAATGAACACAAATAAATCTTTATAAATCTTTGCTTTGTGCGTTAAAACTTGACAAGGTCTGCATATCATCATTTGGCCAAAGTTAAGATTTCAAATGTGTCTTTGAATCACAGTAAATATCTCTTTGCTTTTAGAGATTAGAAAAAGTTTACCTGGAAATGTCAGCTGAAAACATTACTTTGTGTCATCTTCAAATGTTTTAAACTGATTCAGATTGCTCATCCAATTTGTGGATGACATTTAAGTTTTTCCCCCCAATACATGGTAATTTGCACATTTGCATGGATAAATTTGAAATATAAAATAATCAATATAATAACAATATAATGACATTTACTTAATGTTTCAGTTTTTCCTTTCACAAACTCATAAAGTTTATGATAACAATCACAAAACCTGCAGATTGTGAATGTTAAAGTATTTTCTTTTATATTTTGACATTAAATAAAAAAAACACTCTCGGGATTCAAAGTTAAGTCTGCTGTTATATGGATGTGTTATATTGACAGATGTGTGTTTAAATACAGAACGGTTTCATCCTGGCTATAATGTAAATGGTATCTGCCTCCTGCTTCAACTCACTGCTGTTACATTCTCCAAACACAGCCTTGCGTCCTTGAGATTAGCATGTGTGGATGTGAGAGATGTGTGGATATATGTAATACGTCACTGCCATCTGTATGCAAACACAGCTGCATGTACAGAGCATAAAGAAGTGCATTACTTCTTTGTGTGTACCAGTGTCACAGCACAACCTAGTTAAAGGATTAACCAAAGAGACAATCGGAATATCGGACTCATTTATGTGCAATAACTGCATGTATTATTGGTGGGAATCCATTTTTGTATTTATGTGATTTGACCGAGACCAGCATTCTCAATTAGTCTTGTACTCTAAAGCCAGCTGAAAATGACATTAACATCCAAATGTCTTTCCATTAGTATAGCCAGTAAACTAATGGTTCAGCGATGACATAAATGGCATGTGGTAATGCCTACATAGGAGCTCAATGAGTAGACTATTGCAAACCATAAAATAAATGTGTCGGTGGATGAGGATCATTGCAATGGAAATTAGGGGTTAACTGAAGCATGCAGCAGCTAATTTCAGAATGGCATTAATTAATATTTTTTTTACGTTCACTGTGGGGGTCCACTTTAATTTTTTTATAACACTGGAGTAAGCATTTTTCATCAAATATTAATACATTTCTGTTTTATCATTTGTATGGCATGCATACTTTCATCATGTACACATTTTAAAGAGCTGCAGCCATTTCATTTTTGGTATGTCGTTTACGGCGTGTGAGGTTGCTGGTTAGAGGGTTAATTCAGTGACAAAATGCAAAGACTTGATTTGAGATATGCAGATAAAACTTTAAAACTTAGGACAGCACTAACAACTGCACGGACCGCTTATATTAAAGTATACTACATACTTTTCCTACCATCTAGTGGCTAAACGTGGGCACAGTCATGGCAGAACCATTGTATAGCTCCAGAGGGTGCTATGCGCTTCAGAATCAGAATCATCCATTGAGCCGCATTCAAATATCAGGACGGTTTAATTTTTAAAAATCTGTACACTATAAATTGTATGCGTTGAAATATACCAATAACAGTTATCGGTATAATATATGAAAAGCAATCTCTCTAAAATATATATATTTTTAAATTCTTATACGGAATCATAGACATCTGTAATTGGCCCATTCTGACCAGCGCTGAGAAAAGAAGCAGCTATCGCCTGACTATGCTCTATTTGAGCAGCTGTAAGGACAATGATTATTATACTGAAAAACGTGATGGTCATTAAAATTGAAAACTCACAGAGTTAAAATGTGAAAGTTATTATTTAGATCTATCAAGACATTTATTAATACCCAATCATCTATTTAGTATTTATGTGTAATAGCATTGCG